TGGGAGCTTGTCCTTTTTGTATGGCCCCTCCTGATCAGCAGTATCCTGTACACAGTAGAGATGAGAGAGACACTGACGATCCTGTTTCCTCATTGTAGGCCAGGTGAGGGTTTAGTATTTCCTTGGCCTTTTAATAAGGAATTTAGAGTAGTGTCCCTGCACTAAGTGTGTTAATCTGGAGCTCAGAACTCCTTTCCTGGAAGTTGCCTGTATTCTGCCCCTTGGAGTGGATGTGGGTTGTTATCAAGGCTATTACATTCTTGTTCTACTTGAGAGACTGTCCCGATGAACAGCAGAAATGGAACTCACCATGCTCCTAGTTGGTTAAATGAACCAGGCCAATCCTTTTTGTTAAATGACTTTTATGTATTAATTTCTGAGACCTAAAGGTAACCAACCTGTCACTGAGGTTGATTCACTTGATTACTGTTACCACAGTAAAAAAGTAAAGAAAGTTTATACCCTTCAGTGACTTGAAAGGAATTACCTGTTTCTCCCTCTCCCTCCTTTTTCAGTTCTTTTGGGGACACTTGAAGGTAGTGTCTGTTAAGCATGCACTTAACTGAATCAGCCCTTTCATTATGTTATGTTTCAACAGTAAACATCTGATTGTCACTCCCAAAAAATGAAGTAGTTCTGATTATTTAAATCCCTTTTCTTTTTCTGCCTCAGCTTCAGTGTATGTTTTTTTCATGTTTTATCTTCATCCATTAGTGAGTGTAATGGATTCTTTTTTCCCCATTGTGCTGTCTGTATTCAGAAGTGATCTGAAAGGAATGGTAAATAGAGAAGTGATGGCAGCATCTGCTGATGACACAAAATTATTCTAAGTATTAAAGATGAATGCTGACAGCAGAGAATCTGGATTAGAGGGATGTTTTGTCTGATCCCAGTGGGGCTTTTTCCATGTTCTAAATTTCTGAATAGCTATTGTGCTTCTCCTCAGCATTTCTTGTTTAGGTTGACTAAGGCTTGTCCGTTCTCTTTAAAGTTTTCTTGTTTTTTACTACCAATTTATCATTAGTATTGCTTTGCCGTGAACACTTTTTTTTATCATGATAACTGGGAAGGAAGACAACAAAAAGCTTTGTTTATTGATTTTTGGATTAAAAATGCAGCTACAATCTGCAGTCCAGAGAGCAATTTGTCTCTGTTCTTTGATAGGTTGAGATGTATAGATTCAGCTGAAAATAATGGAGTAGGACACAGTTGGTAGGTTTATAAATAGAAATGGTAAAATAATACTTCTTTTCAAACACATTTTTCTGTAGAAGTCATCACTTCCCAGTGGGTTGCCTTCTGTCTGCAGTATGAAAATAAACATTTTTTTCTACTGTTGTATTTAAACTTTGCTGGCTTTCAGCAAGAAGGAAAAGATTATATGCCAAAAGCTTCTATTAAAAAAGCCATGGTTAAATCCTTTGTATTAAATGGTATGTTAGATTACATCATTTTTGCTCTGTGACAGGATTTATTAGGGTAGTGCTGTGGTGTTTGACTGCGGTGTGCACTGCTGCGGTTCAACAGCTGATAACCTCTTTCTCTACAGATTGTTTCGGTGAGGATTGATGATTTAGAGCAGCTGCAAGAGACAACTACCATTGACGCCTCCTCAATTGGGATTGTTCAGGTAAATTCATCGTGGCAGAGTTCTGGTGGCAGTTAGATTCCAGGCCTACTGGAGGGTAAGGTGGGGACATCACTTTTTTGGAACATAACATAGCTGGGCCTAGGCTGATAGGCAAGGAATGTGCTTTTTTAGAGAGTCAGACCTAGCTTAACATGTATAAGCAGCTGCAAGCTGTTGATCTGTTTTGCTGTGTAACATGGGTGCTGGTAAAACAGAGGTAATTACAGGGCGAGGTCTCATACCCTGAAATGAAGTTTGTTTCTTCACTTGGGAATTGACAGTAAACCAACTTCATGTGACAGTCTCTCACTTGGAACTTCACTAAGCAAAATGATTTGATGTTTTGTTTGGAAATGTGTCGCTGCAGCCGGAATTAGCCTTGGAACAGGGTGAACTACCAGAAGGGAAACAGCATATGAAAGCTCCTAAACGTGGCCAGAAACGAAAACAGAAGTCAGGTGAGGAGGAGGAAGCTCAAGTGCCTGAGGAGCCTGCCTTCAGTGAATACACAGAGAAGGAAGGTGAATTCACAGGGTATGTTGGCGATGAGACTAATTCAGCTGTACAGAGCATCCAGCAGGTGAGCTCCAGTAGCGGGGTGATGGGTGGCAGGCATTGCTTAGAGGGATAACCCTTCTTTCTTCTTAATGGCAAACACAGAAGAGTGGCTGGAGTGTTTAGAGGTAATTTGATAAACTATAGTAATACGAAGATGAATAGAGACTTAAAAAAAACCCCAGGGAGCTGGACCAGTAAGCTCCTTATATTGTTTTCATTCCTTCTGGTGTTACCATCTCCTTGTTTGCCAGATGCCACCAACTGGCTGAAGCTGTGACTGGAAGTGTGAAAGTTAATTCGGCTGCTGGCTGTGAACGTTGCACGTGCCTCCCTCCCATTACCTTCTTATTTCTGTACGTGGAAGCTGTCATATTCCACGGTAGCAACGTGTGAGCCCACCAGCAGCCACCTGATCTTTCTTCATATCTGGTAGTCGGCTGCAAGATGTAGGGTCGAGGTTACCTTTCTGTTTCTCCTCAGGTGGTGGTGACCCTGGGTGACCCAAACGTCACAGCCCCTTCCAGTTCTGTCGGGCTGACGAATATCACTGTTACCCCCATTACGACGGCAGCTGGAACCCAGTTCACAAACCTGCAGCCGGTGGCTGTGGGCCATCTGACGGCACCTGAGCGCCAGTTACAGCTGGACAACTCGATTCTCACCGTGACATTTGACACCGTCAGTGGTTCCGCCATGCTGCACAACCGCCAAAATGACATTCAGATCCAGCCGCAGCCAGAGGCAGCCAATCCTCAGTCCGTGGCCCATTTTATAAACCTGACCACCTTGGTGAACTCCATTGCTCCCCTCGGGAACCAGATAACAGAACAGCATCCTCTGGCGTGGAGGTCAGTGCCTCAGACTGATGTCTTGCAGGCCCAGGCACCACCAACGCAACAGCAGTCAGGACAGCAGCAGGTTCAAACAGAGCAACAACAGCAGATGTATAGCTACTAATTTATACTTCGGAAAGTTTGGAAACGGACAGTACGTAGAGACAAAATCACACAGACGTTTGGAAAATTTCTAATAGGATTGTTGGCTGGATACCAAACAGAGATGGGAAAATGTTTATACAATGAAATGTAAGCTAAAATTGGCACAGCACCCTGCAACACCATAATCTTGAGGTTCTCACGCTGTCTCTAGGCCTTGCACTGTCTTTTTAAAAAAAAAAAAAAAAGAAAAAGGAAAAAAAAATCTCACCATAAATTTAGCACCCCCTTGCACTGTGTATTTTGCACAGTAAGATTGAGATTTGACAGGAGCATCATAATACATCTTAACCAAAGCAGGGAAATCCTAAATATTACGGCACCGGTGATTTCCAAAACCCTTCCAGCCATACCCTGTCACTTCTTTCCAAGTCTGGAAATTGCATATTAAGACCTTGTTCACAGTGAGGTGGAATGCACGTGTGGTCAGCTGGTAGAGACTGAAATGTAAAGACGCAAACGGGCAAAACAATAATTGTCTTGTTTTTTATCTTCTTTAGGTCTTGTATCTAACATCGTTGGTAAAGTAGGTGGAGGTTGGGGCTTTGGGGTGGGGGTGAGTGTGGTGTGGAAGAAAATATACCAATTTAACAAAGTATTTCCATTTTAGTCATGGGAAAAACCCTGTACCCGTAACACAGTGTTAGCGCTACTTGAACCAGATAGCTGATCTAATGCTAAAGCAACTTTTGTGGTCTTCTAGTCAAGTTTGCATCAAACCAGTCATGAACTGAAAAAAGAATGTGATACGGCTTTATGTCATTTTTCAAAACTGCTCTTTCAATCTTGCTTTTAGCTGATAGACCTGAAGAGCAACCAGACCCCTTTGATCAAAGTTCAGGATGTGAATTTTTTTTTCAATTAGTCTTCTTTCATTGTGTAATAAACATTTGAGAAAGCATTCTTTTTATATATATATGCATACATATATATATATATATAGCCTTTGTACTTTACTGTGTGTTCCTGGTGAGTATTTGTGTGGAAAACACTGTTATTGATATGAAACGTTAGTTTTTTCATCCCTGTATTGCCCTTTCTTAAAGAAATAATGTATGGATTCTATCGCTTCAGTTTCCAAACCTATTTCCAAAACTCACAGCCACACAAGAGTGTGTGCAGTGCAGAAAAAGGAGTGACTGAAGCACATTCTGCCACGCGGAGGCAGTGTGCCCCAGCATATACTGGGCAAGGTTTGCATGACTCCTGGGCATAGAAATAGTGGGTTGGGTCAAATCCGTTGCTGCTGATACTGCACTTTCATTCCATTCTCATACACTGATGTGCAGTCTGGACTTTTGCATGTCGAGAAGATAGTAGCTTTCCCGCAGAGAAAAAGCAGCTGATCTGAAAAAGGAATAAGCTAAAAAAAGCAGAAGTTGCTTCCTGAAAGGCACATCTGTCCTTCCAGTTATGGCGGAAGAACAAGGTCCTTCGGGGCAGCAGACTGAGCCACAGAGCCGTGCTAAAGGTTTTGGCTGAGCGTAAAGCAGCTGCTGTGTTGGACAGTGAAGATAGATCGGTGGTTGTAAGAATCCTCTCTGTGCCTGTCGTATTTATGAAAATGTTCTATGTGTTAGCAAAAATATGAGTAGGAACGACTTCAGCTTTGAAAGTCTGTATCAATATGGACTACTTGACCCCTAAAGGATGCCTTATAATCTCTACAACAAATTCTTCCAAAGTATAGATATTAAAAATCAACCTCCTGTGGTTTTCTTCGTGCCATAGCGGTGTCCAGAGGCTCCGCTGCTAGGCTCTGTGAAGTTTAGTTGCAACAGGACGTGTGTAGGAAAAGGGGTTCTGGTGACAGATTTTGTGTGTCAGAGGACCAGAACTGCTTTTCTGTAAATGTCAACAAGCCTGTAAACTGTCTGTATTTGACAGGACAAAGATGCATATCAGAAAATACATTTTACCAGTGTGGGAATTTTTCATTCCCTAGCCCTTTCTGTCTTCCTCAGATCCTTTTCACACAATACCAAGAGATCCTGTAATATAATTATTAGTCTCCCAATGTCCTGAGAAGTAGTTTTATGCCCCTCTATCACCCAGATTATTTCACCACTGGTTTGAGTCAGTTAAGTTTTGCCTCAGGTGTCCTGTCTGCAGATGCTTCCCCTTCACACCAAACCAAGAGGTGGTTTGGTCAAGAGGTCAAGAGGAAGCCAGAGTTTATTTATAAAATACGTTGCTTACGTGCTTGAAACTTTTTTTCCTCCCCACCCAGTGTTTGGTGCCTAATTGGTAAAGGCACATTACCTTTTGGCAGGGTACTTTGGAGGGAAAAAAAAATAAGGAAAGCAAATGTAGAGATCCTAGGTCAAGTAGTTAGGGTAAATAAAAGATGGCTAATATCTAAAAAAATTCTTGCATATATATATATACACACGCACGGAGGGTTACAGTGCTGCATATAGAGTTTCTAGGAGATCAAGGGTTTGTTTTAGACGTATGTAAATGGTAATGAAGCTTTTAAGTGGAGAAGAGGAGTTGGTTTTTGCCTTAGCTGCAGAGTGAGTACACTGCTCTATGTTAATACTACTGATGGTAGCATTCACAATGCATTGAGTATCAACCTGAGCCGTTTTAACGTGTAATTGCCTGTTGGATAAGAATTGCATATGGAGATAATTGACCATTACAGAGACCTCTCTGACTTCACAAAACCTCTTTATCCAAATATGATCCTCTGGTAGTCTGCATCTAATGCTGCTGAGCATCCCTCCCATGCTAACCGGCCTGCGTAATTCCATCCAGGCAAGTCAGCATCTCACCTTTCCAATGATGATTGATGCCAGCTGATTTGAAAAGGAATGATCACACAATAGATGCTTGCATGTTGGTGGTCACATAGAAATGTCTCTCTTCAGTCTCTCAGTATCTCCAAAATCACAGAACAGCCCAGGTGGGAAGGCACCTCGAAAGATCATCTGGTACAACCTTTTTTGGGAAAGGGAGCCTAGATGAGCTGATCTAGCACCTTGTCCGATTGCATCTTTAAAGCCTCCAGTAACAGGGATTCTGCCACATCCCTGGGGAGGTTGTTCCAGTGGACGATTGCTCTTACTGTAAAAATTACCTTAAACAATATTTTGGTTCAGGAGGAAAAACACAACCACTGGAAGGGCTGTGACCAGGCCGGGCAATGGGAAGTTCTCTAAACACTAACCTTCCCAGGGCACTCCTTTTGGAAATTACCTTGACTTTCCCTGCAGCCATCGCTACGGTACCTCGTCGTCTCACCATGATTTTATTAGTATGACCGTTGCTAACATCCCTATGAGAACACAGCTGTATCATAGGTGTGCTGCAACATGGCAAATTTCAAACCAGATTATTTTGTTTGGCGGTGTTTCCAACAAATCATTTTGTTGGGAGATGTTGGAAATGGATGCCTTTTCAGACAGAGCTTACCTTGGACAAGTAGTGACTTGCCAGCTGCTCTCCCAGCTCCGCCTTTTTCAGACGAATACCAAAGTTACACTGACGCTGTTTCAAACTGCACAAGAAATAAAACTACGTAAGGGATGTGCAATCAAAATTTCCTTTGCCAATTTGTTACTAGCCTTTTCAGCTATAGGATGTGAAGGTTAATTGTTTTCAGCCACGTGTTGGGGGTTTTGCATAACACCTGTTCAGTAACAAACTGGAATTACCTTGAGCCAAAGGAGCGATGTTGTGTAGTGTCCTGTGTATTGTCATTGTTTATTGCTAAGAGTATTATTTAATTGAATGCTGTCTGTGGCACATGGGCTCTGAAGTAAAGGAGCGTCAAGGTACAGAACCCTTTCTCTGCCAGTGTTATTCTTTTCTGTTCCTTAATTAAATCATCAAACTTTTTTCTTTTCTTCAAATCACATGGGCTTGCTTCAGAATCAGTAGCTTAATCATTATTGAGCTTTGTATATCCCGCAGTATTCAGAGACATGGGGAAGCGTTCCAAAATATTCATTCTATAGCTTGTTACTGGGTAATGACAGAAAGCAGAGGAGATGGAATCTTTCTTGTCTGTGGTGAGTTCTCTCAGGAAAACCTACTGTGTCAAGTGCTTTTACGCTCTCTAAAATTAAAATTTTCTTTATAGATGTGTCAGTATGAAAAGTGAGTATTTTTGCAGAAACCCGCCAGTCAGTCTCCTGTCAGCCTAACCAGCGGCCTTTCTGTACCGTTCTGTACCTTGTTCTGTACCTTGTCTGTTGTTCCAGACATTGTTTGAAGTTAACAGCCAGGTAGTGAACTGAATTTTCTGTCAGTTTGTCAGAGTGATTGGCTGGTGTTCTGCATACATAAAGATGCCTGAATTTCTCATCTTGAAAACTCGGAATGGAAAAAATACCATATAACCAAATGACAATCGTATAAAAACTGTAGGTACTACATGAAAATGGATACAGTCAACAGCTTTGTTAGTGTTGCTTTGTGAATTCTTGTTCAGTAATGAGATTTCCTCGGTGCTATTTAAAGTAATAATAATGTCACTCCTCCTGAGTACTTTTGGCCTTACATTTATGATTGATATAGGCATAACTGTTGGAATATCTTGAACCCGTTGTATTTGTGGCATGCCTTTTCACGGTGCTTGTGTCTTGGCTTCATCTGGTGTAAAGGGAAGACGAGGATGCTGCTCCACGCCATGATGCACAGCGGAGCTCTGCCTGAAGGAGTGTTTGGAGATAGGCCGTGCAGCCAAGTGACTTGTCTGTGAGACGGGTTACCAAGGCTTGTTTTCACAGACGGGCTTTTGCCCTACAGCAAACCCAAAGTGTCACGTTGGCAACAGGAGAAAGGAAAAAAACTATTTCCATCGTGTTTGTCATCAACTTGTCTGAGAGTGATCTTCAGCACTGAGATGCTCCTGTGGTATCTGCACTCCATATGGCAAGAAGCCGTTACATTTTCTTGATTAAAAACATTGGAACACTGTAAAAGGCCACAGGTGCTTTACCATACAGCGTAACCATGGTCAGAAAACATGTTTCTTGCCCTAAAATGCTTTGAGAAAGCTGTTCTTGGCTTATTTTCCCTCCTGGGTGCTAAAGTGCTCTTCTGCATGAGTACCGCTGCCAGCTACAAAGCACCCAGGTCAGTCCAGTCGGGAACTGGGCATAGAGAGCCCCTGCAGTACAGCTAAGGGTGGCTGACACATCAGGTTGCTTTTCTAGA